AGAAAATGTAAGTTTGGGTAGGCATTCTGCAGGAGGAATAGTTCGATAACTTGTGTGTTTTGTGGGGATTGATTTTAGTGTGTTGGTGTAAAGTGTGGATATATGTAGTTTTTCAGGTTTATGTAGTATTTATGCTACTACGTGGGACTGAAAGTTGAGAGGGATAAGTGAACTGAAGATGTAATTTCGGCCTTGAAATTACTTTTGTGGTATTATTAGTGTCCACTAGACTAGAGGTGGTTCCAAGTAGGGTTGTAAACGAATCGAATCAAAGCGAATACTAAGATATTCGATTTGGATTCGTTAAAATATTCGAGGATTCGAATTCGTATTCGATTCGTTAACGAACTCAATTTTTGATTCGTATTCGATTCTTTTAGAATATTCGAACATATTCGATTCGATTCGAAATTCGTTTTCAGAAAAATATTATAATTACAAAAATAATTTTTATTTTTCCATATATTTTTAGAGAAATATTTTTAGTAAAAATATTATATTTTTAGTTTTTATGTCATAAAAATATTAGGAATATAACAATATATATATACATATATATTATATACAAAATGTATACTATATATAATTTATAAAATTTATATAATTATTGTCAACGAATCGAATATTCGAATATTCGAATCGAATATCTACAAATTCGAATTCGGATTCGTTTAACTCTCGAATATAAAACATTATTCGTATTCGAATTCGAATATTTCGAATTCGAATCACGAATATCGAATTCGAATATCGAATCGAATAAAAAAAATTGATTTGTTTACAAGCCTAATTCCAAGGGCACGACATGAAATACAAACACAAACACGAGTATAGAAACAATAGGCATGATGGTCACGACATGATACTCATTATATGAAAGGGTTGAATTTATTATCATATTTAATTATTTATGTTACAAATAAAAAGATATGGCCATTGTCGGTTAGAGCATTTCCAACGGTGCTTCAATTGCAGAATTCTAGAGGCCGTGCAAGGAAAAACATTTCTAGCGGTAAATTATTTGCTTCTATTTTTTATGATGTGGCATGAGAAAGGTTTAAAAATTCTAGAACTCTTTCCACATCTCAAAGCTCTGCTAGACATGATGAGTCACTATTTTTGCCCATATTTATTTTTTATTTTTAATTAAAAATTATAATTAATTTGAAAAGAGGCGTAACTGCACGATAAATTTTTTGCGGGAACTGTTGGGCGCGAACCAGAGGTATTTGGGAGAGGAAAAAAATTAACTAGTAAACTATCATTATACAACTGATAAAAAATAAAAGTTAAATAAATATAACAATATTTATGTAATGATTATCTTATTTGTTAAAAATGTATGTAGTATTTACAAATATATTAACAAAATTTGAAAAGAAATTTCAATTTATAATCTAAGCCCTTGATCAAATTATAATTTGTTGGTATTTATTTGTACGCACTTTATCAAAAAGCATATTAATTTACATAAATGAAAATAAAATAAAAATTATGATACATTATAAAATTATATTATAAATTTAATGGTATATATTTTGTCAAAGTTATGTATTTATATACCTCATACAACAAAGAATGGGTGAAAGCGAGTTGCACATAATTGTTTTACTTTACTCTTAAAAAATACGAAACGGAAGGAAGATGCTCTCACAAAAAAATAGGACAACTTTACTCTAATATCACTGGAGATGCTAATACAACAACTTTACTCTAATATCACTAGAGATGCTCTTAAAAAAATAACCTTTGTCTATGCTAACTCTGTACCGGTGAATGAAATTGACGAAGGGTGCATTATATATTATTCAAAATTTATGATTTCATGAGAGTTTGTTCGTCATGTATAGACATCTACCAAAAAAAATTGTGATTGGTTAAAAGTTTATTGGCATTCAATTTTTTTTTTTTTTGCCTTTTNTAAGAACAGGAAAAGAAAAGAAAAAAACAAGTGTAGACATTTACCGTGTTTAAACATTTACTATTGAAGAGTGTATTCAATCCAGGCGGAGAGAAAACCTTCTATTTATTTGCCACGTATACCACAATTCACAAAGTTCATAAAGTGTTTCATTTGGGTTGCATTATTTTAGGACACATCACTTGATGGGTGTAGCATTAATTAGATGAAGTATTGTCTCCCAATTTGCATAGAAATTTATGGTTTTCGTGTATGATTGGGGTGGATTTGACAATGCACACTTGTCCAAATGTACGAGCTTCCATATCATATAGCGACCACCATACCAATTTCCAACATTTAAGGGCTCAATTTTCTAACTGGCCCAATAATGTATGAGTGTCGGTTCAATAAACCGGCAATTCTGAGTTGAACTAGTTCCAGGCCGATTGTTTTTTTTTTTTTTTATTTTTAAGAAAAAGTTTGGGTGGGGTGCGGTGGGGTGGAGGAGGGGTATTTAAAAAAATTTATTTGGTTTGGTTGAAATATTAGTTAAAATATCAATTAAGTTAAATAACTTTTTGATTGAAAAATGATATTTTAACTTATAATATGTCAATTAAGTTGCTTTCATATCTCATATCTTGGGAATCAAAGTTCTCGTAGATTTTTTACTTTACTCCTTGATGAAAGAAGATGGTATGATTCATTATTGAAAAAACGCTCTAGTAATTGTGAGATACTCTCATACTTCTATCAAATCAAATAAAAAATCTTTTTATGACTATTGTACTCATTTGCAAATTCAAAAGAAGAAAAAGAATAATTGTCATCACAATTTTCATCACTGTAGCTACATCACAAAATGTATATGTGGCATTACAGATTACACTGAATTTTTCAGTAAAATGTATATTTAGTGACATCGATTTCATCACTTTTGCAATCGAAATTTCATCATTGAAATTCTTAAATTATCACTAAAGGTTCATATCTAAATTACGAACTTATATTTTGCCATCTAAACATAAACTAGGGGTGGAGCATGAGTCGGTACGGTTCAGAAGATTATGAACCATACCGAAATTCAAAGATCATAAAAATTAATCTCCGAAACCGTATCAAAAATCGCTTTGGTTGGGTTCGAAGATTTTTATATTCTAGTGTAGTTCGGTTCGATATTCGTGACTATGTGATAGTTCAGTTCGGTTCAATTTAGTTCGGAGCTCTGCAGATTTGTAATCATTATTTTTTTTCAAATGACTATATAGTTATATTTTAATTTTGAAATATTTTTTTTTCCAAACATTCATCAACTTAATCTTGAGAAACCATTTGTCGTACTCATTTTGTCTACATATACTACATATAGTACTAATACTTCATCTCACATTAATGTAACTTACCCAATTTTCCAAGTTATGATCATACCACCACCACGTCATCTCTTTCCTTTTGTGGCTCTTGTTCTTGATTCTTTCATGTCCACTATTACATTGCTTACACTATCTTTAAATTTCTAGCAACGTACCTTAAACACCCACATTACTCCACAACGCCATAGTAATAAATCCAACACGATGCTCCACACACGGAAAAACGCTGGCCACAAATTCCTTTTTTCGTCGTTACTCTTCGCATCAATTTTCTTTGCATCACGCGCCGAAGTCCGATTTTCCAACTCAGGCGAACCGGGCCTTCCGAAGGAGAAGATGACAAGGCTTCGGTTTTACGTCCAGGATTTTACCGGCGGCGAGAAGCGTACAGTCTGGCGCGTGGCCCAATCCAATTTGACCAATATCTTGCCGTCCAACTTTGGGCTCGTGGCTGTACTGGACAATCTGGTGACATCTGGGCCAGAAATGAACTCTCGGGAAGTGGGCCGGATGCAAGGTGTTATTGGGATGGCGGATATGCGCGTTAAGGCCCTAGTCATGCTTCTCAACGTGGTTTTCACGAAAGGGGAGTATAAGGGGAGCACCATAAGTATCCTGGGGAGGAACCCACTGGATGATGAGGTGAGGGAGGTCCCTGTGGTCGGGGGTACGGGGGCTTTTCGAATGGCGCGTGGGTATGTGATTACGAACACGTATTCTAAGAACGACACATACGGTGTTTTCGAGTATAATGTAGTGATTTGGCACCTCGATGGCCAGGTGGCGTACGAATGAGCTTCCGAGCTATCGGGAGAGTCCATGTGGGATAGTCAATTTCAATTTAAGTCAAGATTATTTGTTGATTGCTGGACAATATGTATTTATGTGACAAGTTCGAGTTTTTTATCGTTAAAATAATATACACTTGTGGGTGTTTGTAACAATGCAACGGTAAAAAGATTCCATAAGAACAATGCTGTAATTGGATTGAATTTATCATATGTATGGCCACGAATAATGTGTACAATGGTACAATTATTATTTGTAGTGAAGAGTCTAGTGAACGTTTTATTTTATTTTTTTACTCATTCATGTTCATGTTCATGTTCATTCAGAGCAAAGGGCTCTTCGTAGGCTAATTTAATTTCACGAGCTAAAGTTTCTGTTGAGCCAATAAGATGATTTTACATTGCTCGTGATAGCTCGAGTTTCTTGATTCTTAAAAAAGAGTCGAGCTTCAATCAAAAAGTCTGGTTGAACTTGTGAAAACTCGAACTCGAATGCTATCAACAATTGCATTTAGAAAACCTGATCAATTACACTGTCTGAAGAGCTCCGCGTTAGAAAGAAAGAGGTCATATCTACTATTACCAAAATAATTGCCTATTGCATTTTATATAATACTTGAGTACAATTTAATTCTATTGACCTCAAATAATTTGATCATGCTTGCAGAACTAGCTAGAACCAACATGTTTGAATAAATTCCAATATATTCTATTCATATTTCCACTTATTTCCATATTTTCATTGAACATAATGCGTGTTTTCAAATTCAGGTGTTGGTTGATCCTTAATAATGAGAACAGTATGTTCATTTTCAATGCTTGGTGAAGGATGCAGTTTAGTTTACTTATTAG